GGCTTCAAGTTGATTACGAGTGGATATCGGCCCATTTTCTAAATGCAGTCGGCAAAGGTTTGAGACATGCAGTCTAACATTTTCTGCATTGAAATCCAGCATTTTTGGTGTTGGCCGGTCCCAGCATTGTGATGTTTTTTGGAACCATCCAAGGCGCGGCACCACCGTATACATGCGAAAATTCCATTGTCGTTGCGGTGTCAATGGCTGCCCTGTGGCTTCGCGACTCCTTGCTCCCTCTCCATTCATCCAGATTAAATTTTTGCACGAAGGAGACGATCCCTTGTGGAACATTGGATGGAACCGATATCAAGGCCTAATGGGGCAAGACCTTCAATATGAGGTGATGTGATCTAGCCATTCGCAAAGCTGTTCACCAGATGTTTTCTAAGTCGTCGTTATTCAAGTTCGATGAGCTTTCTTCTAGGACTGCGAGTTATAAGGGATGGTGTCACTAGAAGTGATGAACTCAGGTTTTCTTACTGCACATACCATTCCCTTTATTGAGCAAAGCAGCAACAATTTGAAGATTTGTTGCTTATTTCTACAGTTTTCCCCTTCGTTTTGACTCTAAATGGCTTTGTGCTTGAGCTTAGAAGGCTTGGTTACCTGTTCTCGCGCTGTTCTATTGCCATCCTTTCAGATTGTCGGCTATCGCTAAAAATCCGGGTTGGAGGAGTGCTGCAGCTGTTGTGTTCTATTGTCGCAAGTAATTGTGAGAATCCGCTCAGTCCCACTATGGCGAGGTTGTTATGTCGCTCTGTTCGATCTCGTAAGTCAATTGATCTTCCTTTCTAAGACTTAGAGTTGCTTTCACAAAATGCAAAGAATTTACTCCATTTTCTATCGTTGTACTCACGACTCCTTCAAAATGGCGCTTATTTAGTGTCATGGGTCAACAAATTTTTTTTAAGTTCAGGATGTAATCTCATTCTACAGAGTGGGCCAAATCGTGGGAACTACGAATGTGCGCTGTCATACCCTCTTCCTATTCTTTCCAATTTGTTCTCCTTTTCTGTACATAATGTTGAAAATTACAACGGTCTGACTGTCTTCCTCCCGGGGAAACTAAATATCATGTTTTCTTCAAATACAGTGAAGCCGTCTCATCACGATATGCCAACCTCAAATTGAATCTATGTACAAAGTGTTATGCTTATTCTGCGTGTGTAGAAGTTAAACGTAACAAAAAGTTCGTATGGACATCTATTCAACGCTATAAAAAGGGTGGAACCATCCTAGACGGAAAACGTGCAGATTCAAGGGTTACATCTACCACAAGAGCAAATATCAGATGCAGAAACTCCTTCCCTCTTTTAGATTTTCGTACTCCAAAACGAAAAAGTTTAATAA